TTAAAATATTAAAAATTATAAATTAAATTACACTTGATAAAATTTATATGCATTATGGATATCTTGGTTCATATGAACTTTAGTCCAATAATTGATGATCTGTAAATATTGTTCGATCTTAAAATAATATGTGAATGTTTACTTAATCTCTTCTCTTACCGTAATCAATATTTGTCTAAGATAAGATATTTGAGGACGTTTGTTAATATTGATCTTACGGAGGATAATATAAAATGGTTTCACTCTTGTTATAATTTCATTCATAGTATCTCAAAATCTAAAAGAAAGAATAGTTCTTTTTATCCTTTTTTCATTGCTTATTCTTGAATACTTAGAATCAGACCATTACCTTGAGGCTTTACTCATTTTGTTGTATTGATTTTAAGACAATAAAATTTGTAGAAAACCAAATGACTCTAGGTTGGAGTATCTTACCATTTTTGCATCAAAGAGTGGACCTAGGGATGATTTTATATTAACTTTGTGATCGATTGTACCCGAACTATACACTTGTTGACTGATTGTAGCCTGCCAATATCTTTCAGCATTAAATCCATATAATGAGTTGCACATGGAGTCCAAAACAATAATTTTCTTTTATTCATCAATTGTAAATCAGTCATCTTGAAATTGGCTCTATTATCAGTAACTATCTAGATAATGTACTATTGTTTAATCTCCTCTACTACAGTGTCCATTAGGTTTTTAATATATTTGCATATTGAATCTTGTTAGAAGAATTGATTGACATATGAAAAACAACCCGTTTGTTGCAATACACAAAAAATTAAGAATATTTATTTTTGTTGGCTCTATCCAATTGTCACACATCAATGTCATCCTATATTCATCCGATTGTCTCTTGAAAAATTTAGTCTACTCTTTTAGTTCTACCACCTCTTCATTTAAATACACACCATAGAACTCCTTTAGTGTAAGTTAGATCCTTGTGCCAGCCTTTTGAATAGAAGAAACTATACTTTGATAATATAGCTCTTATGTTGTATTTGTTAGAATCTTATGGAAATTGAACCATTTTGTAATTGTATTTCCAATATCTCGCTTCTTTTCCTTTGTATATGCATAATCAATCCATGTCTGCTTCACTGTTTATGAAGGATAAGCTTACGGATCAATATAAATAATATTTGATACTGACCTCCTATCAAGTTCTCTAAAAAAACCACGGATTTCACCCTATGCATTTTACCAATTCAGCTCAACTAAGGAGGGGCAATTGGCTACCTCGTGTTGGCTGACCTCCAGATTGTTTTATAGTACAAACCACCCTCTACCACTATCATGCTCCCATTATGAGTCAGGTCATCAATGTTTCATTGCTTCTTCATATATATACAAATGCTCCAGTGATGCACAAATATCAGCTTTGAGATTTGTATTGATATCACAAACATCAGTAACCCTCATATTCATCATAAACTGATTCCTGCATAACCCTACTGTATCATTAAATACACTAATTATAATAATTAAAAACTAAATTAAATCTTAATTAAATCTATTTTATCATTATAAATATGTCAAACACCATTAAGTATGTAAATTTGATGCAATATAAGTCAAATTATGATGAAATCATCATTATAAACATGAATTATACCGTTAACATTATACCATTACTCTCTAATTATTTCTCTTTTCATCACTATAAACATGTTAAACACTCTAATAGAGATTAAAGATATTTAATTGATTTAATATAGATCAAATTTTGATATCATCATAATTAAATATACTAATTATAATATTATTATAATTAATTATTCTCTAATTAGTCCTCTTTCATTATATAAGGCCTAAAATCTCAAAATATGAGTTATATTGGTTTACACTATTTACATAAGGCCCAAAAACAATATAGCCCATCCAAAAATAATATAACTCATGTCTTAAAAAAAAAATTATGTTCTTAAAACCTGAAGAAACCTTCTATAATACTATTAAATTAGTTTGTATAAATTCACCTAAAATTTATTAAAATAAATAATAATAATTTCACATTTCTAATGGGCTGGAATAAATAGAATATACATGTTTTAATGACTTAAAAATACAAAAAATTGGTCATTTAGGTCTTTGCAAGTTATTTTGAAGATTTTCTAAAAATTTGAATATTTTTTAAAAAGGTGGGATGTCAGTTACGTTGTTTTTGCAGATGACCCTCAAAATATATGCAAAAACATGGAAACTTAGATTTTAAAAAACTTTTTTATTCTTAAAATATCATAAAACCATTTATAATTATGTTCAATTAGTTCTTGTCCCAAAATTATGGTAAATTCAACTTAAATTAGGTAAGATAAAAAAAAATCATAATTTTGCACTTTTTAATAAATAAAGTATGCCTCTTTTAATAGTTCAAATTAAGTTATTTTCAAATTTTTTGTCCTTAAAATCACAAAAAATCTTCTATAATAATACTGAAGTGACTAAAACTCAATAAATTCATTTAAAATTGACTAAAATAAAAAAAAATCATAATTTTACAATTTTAAAAGATCAATTAATTTAAAGATATATATTTTAGTGGATTAAAAATAAAATTTTGGTCATTTAAGCATTTGTATGTTAATTTTAAGATTTTTTTAAAAAATTAAGAATTAAAAAAGAAAAGATGTGAGTTATATTATTTTTTAATGAGATTATACTATTTTATATAGGACCCAAGAATAATATAAACTGATTCAAAAAAAGTATAACTTAGCACCTCAAAAACTTTTATGTATCCTTAAAACGTCAAAAAATATTTTACAATAACATTAATATTGTTTCTATCCCATTGTGATAGTAAATTCATCTTAAATTGGTTAAAATGGAAGTCATAATTTCACACTTTTAATAGACTAAAAAAAAAATACATCTAATTAAATGCTTATAAATTAAAAAAAGTTAGTTAGCCCTTTTCAAGTTATTTTCAAGATTTTCTGAAAATTTAAGAATTGTTAAAAACAATAGGATACAAGCTTTTGAATGAGATAACAGTGTTTTAATGTAAGATCCAAAATTCATGTAATCTCATTTAAAAATAATATAATTTAAGTTCTTCAAAAACATTTTTACCTTAAACCTAATAAAGTTATCTATAATAATATTCAAGTGCTTTTTATTGAAATTATGATAAATTCATCTTAAATTAGGTAAAAAAACTCAATTTAAAATACATATTTAGTGGATTAAAAATAGAAAAAAATATTTATTTTGATGTTATTTTTAAAGTTTTAAATAAAAAATTTCGGAAAAGGTGAATCTGCATTGTTTTGATTGAGCTACAACATTGTTTTTGTATATGATCCAAATAACTTTATGTCTATTATTTAAAAAAATCAATTTTTTTAATAAAATATTAATTTTATTTTTTAAATATTTATAGTTATAATTATAATTATAAATTATTTTTTATTTTTTTGTTAAAACATAAGTAAATAAATACTAACATTATTTAATTTATTAACTATTATTTATTTTAGATCGATTTAATTTTTCTGTTGGTTCAATACAATAATCAATAACGTGATTCAATGAAACGAGCTTGAAAAGGAAAAGAGAGCGGTTAAACGTAATGAGTTTATAAAGAAAAAAAGAAAAAATAAATAAAGAAATGATTCAAACACCTTTTGACTCAGAAAAAAATAAAATAATAATACCAATAAAATAAAATAAAATTAAGAATTTTCTTTCAAAAAATTGCACATTCAAATATCAAAACCACTGTAACTACCACTATAACTATAACTAGCAATATCTTCCGCAGGAAAGAATGGCCAAAACGATACCAGATGTAGTCCTTCAGGTATTTGCATCAGACGAGGACCAAAAAGCAAAACTACCAACGAAAAGCCCAAGTAGTAGCTAAACCTGTTGAAGTTGAATGTCTGAAAGAATACTCATCTTAAACCTAATATTAGGTTGTATACACAATCAAACATCCCAAAACATATATATATATATATATATATATATATATATATAGAGAGAGAGAGAGAGAGAGAGAGAGAGAG